CCTGCTGCCTGCTGAGCGCGGGCACTTTCTGTCCCGCGCACTTGCAAACCCTCAAGTGCCAGAACAGCTAATGCCTAAATTACTCTTTGCAATGAATCGACGCTGGGTGCACCCTTGCTTAGATCCGCTAGCGCGAGCGTGGCCAAAAGAGACGGCACCGTCTGGCTTTAGCGAGAGGGTGCGTTTGCATCTCCTGCGACTTCACCTCAGGGCGATGCCACTTCACGGGGAAAAGACAGACAAGGATTTGCTTGCCATCCTTTGGGATTATCTATTCCTATTGCAAATTCCAGCTCATCGCCTCAGTAAAGTTGCTCTGAACTACGCCCACCCGAAACGCGCTCCTCGAGCACTGGCAGTCCTTTGCAAGAAAAGCTTACAAACAAAAAAAGCTCCTCAGAAAAGCATTTTCCATGCTTGTGCTCCTGCCTGCGCACCTAGGCTGTGTCTCTCCTCCGTGTAGAAGTCCGGCCCATCACGCCAGCTCTCAGCTCAGTTTCTGAGGTGGCAGCAGGCGTTTGTCACAGAATCACTGCAGTGGCACCTCTGCCCAGTGCCGCATTGCTCCAGCCAGTCAGCCACGTGGTGGGACCACAGAGAGCTACTGGGAGCTGTGTACAGCTCGAGTGAGTCACTGCTTTGGACCTCTGCCGTCACTGCTTCCAGATGCAGGTGTGAGTGCCTGTGACAGTACAGCCACAGCACTACCAGGGAGCTCAATACTCTTCAGACAAGGAGTGGCCTTGCCCTCTGCAATTCAATCTCACATGCCCTGTGCTAGTGCCTGCCCTGGCCTGGACTGCAGCTGCCTGCATTTCCAAGGGCGTCATTTGCAACGTGCGCATTGCACACTGCACTCCCTAGCTGCATTCAGCCAGCTTGGTCAGCCTGAACTCCCTGCGCTGCATTGCATTGCGCTGCACAGCCTAACATTGCATTGCATAGCGTTGCTCTGCCTCGCACAGCACAGCATTGCATTGCACAGCCTAGTGCTGCACAGCATAGCATTGCAGAGCACCACACAGTCCAGCCCAGCACTGCATTGTGTTGCAAGGCATTGCACAGCCCAGCACTGCACTGCATTGCATTGCACAGTCCAGCACAGCACTGCATTGCATTGCACAGCGCTACACGGCCCAGCAGCCCAGCCCAGCCCTGTATTGTATTGCATTGCAGTGCATTGCACAGCCCAGCCCAGCCCAGCCCAGCATTGTGTTGCAGGGCATTGCAGGGCCCAGTAGAACACTGCATTGCGTTGCAAGGCATTGCACCGCATTGTGCAGGCCTGCCCAGCACTGTATTGTATTGCAGTGCATTGCACAACACTGCACAGCCCAGTCCAGCACTACACTGCATTGCACTGCACAGCACCGCATTGCACAGCCCAGCCCAGCACTGCACTGCATTGCAGCGCGCAGCACCAGCCTCCCCCGCGGAGGGCTCAGCACGCATGCGCATTCCCCGTGAGCCTCGTTCCGCCC